CTGAGGGCCACAGGCTGAGGGCTCAGGACCCAAGCAGAAGGGCTTCTCCGGTGCTGGCAGAGACATTTCACATCTAGAGATTCACTGGCCGAGACCAGCAAGGGCCCCGAGCTGGCATGCACCCCAGGCCCTTCCCCCCCCCCCACACACACCACCCAAAAGAAGTATTGATCAGACCTTCAAACTTCAGAGGGAAGGCAGGGGAGGGTGAAAATGTTAGGCAACTTGCTGGACTGGAGAAAGCATCTGACTTTCCTTCAGCCCTGCTCCAGAAGGGCCACCCTTGAGCTACACTAGACCTCTTCCTGCCTACATCCTATAGAGCAGTGGTTATCAACCTTCTGGCCCTTTAAATACAGTTCCTCATGTTGTGACCCAACCATAAAATTATTTTCGTTGCTACTGCATAACTGTAATGCTGCTACTGTTATGAATCGTCATGTAAAGATCTGATATGCAGGATGGTCTTAGACGATCCCTGTGAAAGGGTCATTCAACCCCCAAAGGGGTCGCGACCCACAGGTTGAGAACCTCTGGTATAGAGGCTGAATAAAGGCCACGATTCCAGACATTGATCCAAACTCTCTTGGATTCCACCCGCTCCAGCTGGGCACACGTCGAATTTTTAACCTTGCGCGTGCGCAGGGATGGCTAGGTCAGCAGCTGCCTTTCCCAGGCCTCGTTTTTAGCATTTGATGCTAGCGCCCACTCTGCCCATCCCCACCCTCGGTCCCGCCCCCTAATCTATCCACCAGGCTCGGGGGGCCCGGTGTCCCAGGCCACGGCCTGGCTGGCTCACCGTAGAAGTCAGCGGGGTTGCTGTAGCGAGGACAGGGGTGGCCGATGGCGGTGAAGTACTGGACCATGTGCTGGGCCGCCCCCAGGTAGATGGTGATACCCGATGCCATCAGGAGGACCAGGTCGAACAGCTGGAAGATGTCGGAGCGTGGCTGGTGCAGGGAGATGAGCACCAGCCTGTTGCCCTTGGCCAGCCGGGACAGGGTCTTCACCAGGTTGTGGGCCGTGAAGCTGTCGAGCCCCGAGGTGGGCTCATCCAGAATGAGGATTCCTTCCGGGGGAAAGAGGAGCCTGGTAAGCGGGCAGGAGCCTGTCTAGACCAGGCTAAGCCGGGTGGGTGACCCAGGCCCCTCATGCCCGTCCGGCACCCACAGCCCTCACCTGGGTTCCACAGAAGCTGCACCCCGATGCTGACTCTCCGCCGCTCGCCCCCCGACACCCCCCGCACGTAGGTGTTCCCCACGCGCGTGTTGGCGCACTGCCGCAGCCGCAGCTCCGCGATCACGTCGTCCACCTGGGGACCAGAGGGGCCCGGGCCTCGCTCAGGGCCAGACATATTTTGCTCCAAATATCAAAACACCTGCGTGTCTGGATGTGTTTAAAGCCCCAGCCTTTGTTTCCCTGATACACTGTGTCCCCTGACTCTGCCCATGCACGATGCCGTGTGTTGGGAATGTGGCTGTGTCTTGGACACAAGGCTGGACCACATGGAGGACCACAAAACAAACGCTCATCACACAATTTGGCACCTGCTGTGAAGGGAACCAACTGGGTTTCAGAGGGCTCTGGGGCTTTAAAGGCTGGTGAGGGGCAGGGCTGAGCCTACAATGGATGGATGGATGGATGGATGGATGGATGGATGGATGGATGGATGGTGAGCTGGGTTGGGTGGATGCATACATGCATGATGAATATATGAGAGGAAGAAAGGGTGACCTTGGGAGCACAGTTGATGCCGTCTGTAATTCCAGGCTGTAATCAGCCTCCAAGACCAGGGTTCAGCACGTTGTAATCCCAAGAGGGAAGAGGAGCCTGTCTGCTGCCTCACCCCTAGTAGTTCTGGGCCCCCATGTGGCCTGATGGCTTCACCTGATTCTCTCTTTTAAAGTGAGCTGGGTTGTTCAAACCACTGGTGGCTGGGTCCTGAGGCAGGGAGGGGGAGGATGTCATGGTTTTGGGGGTCATGGGGTCAGTTACCCTTTTGTCACGCTGGGCCTGGGAGAAGGTTCTGGGCAGGCGCAGCTGGGCCACGAAAGCCAAGGTCTCGCGGACAGTCAGGTTGGGGAGCAGCTGGTCGTGCTGGCGCACGTGGGCCACAGACTTCCTCACCAACTGGGGCGTGCTGGGCTGCCCGTTGATCCAGATTTGACCCGACTTAATTTTGCCACCGTGGCCTCGCCCAGTGATCACGTCCAGCAAAGAGGCTCTCCCACAACCTGCAAAGCCAACAGAGACATCCCTGAGATCACAGATTCTGCAGGGCCAGCCTGGAAGCCACGGTGACCCTGGGCTGTCTGTCCTCACAGAAGGGACCGGTCCTAGGGAAGGGGCACTGCACGCAGCCCTGGAAGGGGCAGCCCAGCACTGGAGCTCCAGGCCTTTGCCCACAGCCAACCTGAGCACGGTGATGTGGGCACAGTGATGCTGGGGGCTGAAGCCAGGCCCGCCAGGCGCTGAGTGGCAGGAGAAGGATGGAGTTTGGGCTGCCACAGGCCTGCCTGTGCCTGGAGTGTGTCCCCTCTCTCGGAAGCAGGGCTGGCGTTAACTGCACAGGGAAGCTGAACTATTTGGGGCTGGCAAATGTGCCAGTGGCATTTCACCATTCAACTCGTTTGGCTCAGAAGCTGGCTTTTTGGGAAGGACTAATCTGAAGAATGAATAGGGTGTCTTTTAAAAAATGTGAAAGTGAATCTATTTTCAGTAATTAGGGAGAAAAAATAGAAAAGAAATAAATGTGGGAATGATTTTAAAAATACAGCACAGTGTACATGTGTGTTCTGAGTTCCTCTCTACCTTTTACATGCTATTATTTTTAAAAAATTGTAATTGATCTTAGAGAGGGAGGAAGAGATAGATAGATAGAGAGATCAATTTGCTGTTTCACTTATTTATGCATTCATTGATTCTTGTATGTGCCACATCCAGGGATCAAACCCACAATCTTGGGGTATCGGGATGACGTTCTAACCAACTGAGCTACCTGGCCAGGGCCTACATGCTCTTATTTTTATCAGTGATACTATTTACTCTCTCTAAACAACAACAACAACAACAACACAACAATGATGATTGCACACAAATGCATTCCACCCACTTCTGGATGGCGTAGGGATTGCTATCGTTTGGGGAAGTGTCACACTGCACCAGGATTCCGGATGCTCGATGAGACTCTCTCTTTGACGGCCATTTAAACCGTGAAAGAGAACTGGGCTCAGGATCTGAGAACACCTTTTGGGACAGAGCTGGAAAGAGCCTGTCCTCTTCCCCCAGGTGGGAGCCTGCCTACAAATCCCTTTTAGAGAGCACCTCTTCCAAGCTGTTTCCAAACAAGGAAGGTGGTGACAGGTCCTTGGCACAAGCCAAGCGTCTCCTGCAGGCAGCCCCGGGGCCTCTGTGCAAAAGAGTAAAAATCGAGAAGCTTCCCCAGGGACCCTTCTGCACAGGGATCACAGGTTTTTGGGGTGGAAAGGGACCTGCACGCTGCCTCCTGGGTGCACCTCTTTCAAGGTCCCTGAGAACTGAGGTGGAGCCAAGTAGCCAGGAGAGAAATGAGAGAGGTGGGCTCTGGCCCTGTGCCCTGCTCAGCCTCGGACACCGGCTCCAGGCTCTGGGAGCGCAGGGGACTTTGCCAGCATTCGCCGGGACTGTGGGATTCCCAGTCAGGAGGGGAAAGGCCACGTTTCCCAAACAAGACTTGGGGAGTGCTAGGTCACCTCTGACCTAACACTTTGGGTGCTGGCGCCATTTTGGGGCTCAGCCCATCTGGGTTTCCAGATGACCTAATAAGTTCATGATTCTTTACCCCTTTTGGCCTTGTGCGTTGCTCCTTCGGCGACCCCAACAGTGAGAGCAGTGGGTGCCTTTCCAGCATTTGGTACGACTGGGGAGACCCTCCTGAACCAGGAGCAAACACTTGCATTGGAGATCCTCAAAAAAGCGATCTCCGAAGCAGTACATTCATTTCTGGGAGAACTCCTTTGGCACTGCTGATTCCATAGAAGACGCTAAAATGCCTGGGCTGTTTTATTTTTTAAATTATAACGAGAAACTGATGAATAAAATAGATCCAGACACATAGAAGCATGGAACAGACTGTGTAATCTCAGGGCGAGTGGGTAGGTGGGTGGGAAGAGATCCACCGAAGAACTTGTATGCGTATATGCATAACCCATGGACACAGACAATAGTGTGGTGAAGGCCTGGGGTCGGGGGCAGGGACCCGCTAGAAGGAGTCAATGGGAGAAAGGGGACATATGGAATACTCTCAACCATAAAGATTGAAAAAAAACTCTAACCAGAATTATTTTGTCCGAGTGGAGTAAATGTCACAGGTATTCTTGGTAAACCTTTCTAAGAAATCATCTTAATAATTTCTGCCAAGTAAACCCGAAGCTAAACCCACTGAGCCTATGGTCAAAGGACCTGGAGGCTGCTCAGCGCAGCATCTCCCAACAGGGGACGCTGACAGCTGCCGGGCTCTGTGCAGCGAGATGGCCTGGTAACAGCCGTGTGTCTCCTAGATCAGTGGTTCTCAACCTTCCTAATGCCGCGACCCTTTAATACAGTTGCTCATGTTGTGGTGACCCCCAACCATAAAATTATTTTTGTTTCTACTTCATAACTGTAATTTTGCTACTGTTATGAATCATAATGTAAGTATCTGATATGCAGGATGTATTTTCATTGTTACAAATTGAACATAATGAAAGCATAGAGATTAATCACAAAAACAATATGTAATTATATATGTGTTTTCCGATGGTCTTAGGCGACCCCTGCTACTTTTTTTCTCGTCTAGGTCAGAATTGCAGGGATGTGGTCACAAGCAGCTAGGATATGACCTGTGGGAGTGTTCCAGTGACAAAGTACATTTACACACATTTGATCTTTGGCGAGACAATAAACAGAACTTCCCTATCTGAAGATTGTAAAAATTTGGAGCTGATGTTTAAAAAGTTGAGTAATCTGTCTTTCTGGTAATGATTAATGAACGGATATAAAGTGCTGTCTCTAACATGATGTAAGGGAGAAATTATTTTATCTGAGATTATAATCAGGAGACCAAAGTTCTAGGTCTGCATGAAATGTATGTCCTAGGAGCAGTGGTTCTCAATCTTCTGGCCCTTTAAATACAGTTCCTCATGTTGTAGTGACCCCCAACCTTAACATTACTTCTGTTGTTACTTCATAACTGTAATGTTGCTACTGTTATGAATCGTAATGTAAATATCTGATATGCAGGATGGTCTTAGGCGACCCCTGTGAAAGGGTCGTTCGACTGCCAAAGGGGTCGCGACCCACAGGTTGAGAACCGCTGCCTTGGAGTGTGTGTGTGGGGGGGGGAAGGCAGGGGAAGATGTTCTAGAAATATGGAGGGCTAGATAATTTGAAAACCCTCCTGTGAAGATGCTTCCAAACAGGTAAGGAGAAAGAACGGTAGGAGACAGTGATGAAGTGGTCTCTGGTCTCCGAGCCCCCTTCCACCCCGCCTTCTGCAATGCCAAGTCTGGCTTGTGGAAGTGACTGTTTGAGGCCCTGCAAGCATCTGGACCTGTGCGGATGGTTGAAGGTTGGGCCCAGAGTTGGAGGGGCTGTGTCTACCTACTGTCTGACCGTAACTGAAATCTGATTGTGGGGGAGGAGTCCCCTGAAAAGCTCATTTTCTTCTGAAACTACCTGAGGTTCTTGGGAGGTTTTTGACTTGTCTCAATACAGGTGTTACCCTGCAGCTTCAAAAGGCTCCGTCCTGATTCCATACCAAGGACCCTCAGCAACTGCCTGAGAGCTGGGAATGGAGCAGCAGAGATTGGAACCCAGGTCTGTCGGCCCCAGAACCTGTGCTCTCAAACACTCTGCTGCAGTGTTCTACTCGTCAGTAAGTGTTCTGTGAGAAGCATGCATCTGTCTAAGGGACCACTCTGCACCCCACTACCTGTCCTTCGCGGTACCTGAGCTCCCTATGATGGCCAGCATCTGCCCACTCCTCACTTTGAAGCTCAGGTTCTGGATGCCCAGCTCACAGGAGTCCTTGTGAGAGGCCCAGGGCATCTTAAACTGAGCCAGCTGCTCAAACCAAGGCACCTGGGAGGCCGCGTCCACCTGTGGGGAGACATCAGAAGGTTCCTCAGAGAGCTGTTTGGCTCACTGCAGGAGCCCCCCGCCTGCTGATACAACAGGCCCGTGGGGCTGCCCACCGGGCTCTACCAGGCACGGAGGCCGCGCCCACCATCCTGAGAACCTGGAGCTGCCATTTCCAAGTCTGAAGATAACACATGGGAAACGTGTGTAATAGCTGAACAGAAATAAAGACACCTGAAGTAAAACGATGCCTTCGCTCAATAATAATAGGAATTTACCAAATGTTTACTCTGTGCAAGGCCTTGTGTGAATCAATTTATATTCATTATCTCATTCAATCTTCATTGCAAACCTGTTACCTGGGTATGATTGGAATCCCTGTTCTAGTGAAGCTCAGAGCAGGTAAGTGCTAGTGAAGCACAGAGCTAGCAAGTGGCAGTGCAGAGAGAGGTCGTGGCATGGCTCATGAGCTCGGCCAACGCACCTCCTCAGAAAGCCAGAACTGGGCCTCCAATCCCGGCCCCACCATATTCCAACGGGGTCACCTGGGGCCTGCCCCTGGGGAAGTGTGGGAAAGGCACTTGCACTCTGATGTTGTATTAGCTCCAGTGACAGTACATTTAAAAAACTATTCAAAAAGTGGAAAAAAAAATCTTCCTAAAGTCTGTAGTTTAGTGACTAGTCTCCTACCACTGCAATACCTTCGTTTTGATAACTGTGCTGTGGCCTGCGGGTAAGCAAGATGGTAACATCGGGGAAAGGGGGGCGAAGGGTAATGGGAACTCTGCACTACTTTTGCAACTTTTTCAAAAGTCTAAACTCGTTTCAAAATATACAGTTAATCAAGCGTCTTAGAGACTTTTCTCCCCACAGGTTCACACAGGTCTCTGTTTATGCCTGGAAACCCCCGTGCCATTGAAGGGGCCTCCGTGGGGCTTGCACCCACCCCGCGGGGCAGTACCACGGACCCTGCTCTGCCTTTGGGAGCAGAGGGCCCCCTGCCCTTCCACTTAGGCAGCGGTTCTCAACCTGTGGGTCGCAACCCCTTTGGCGGTCAAACGACCCTTTCACAGGGGTCGCCTAAGACCATCCTGCATATCAGATATTTACATTACGATTCATAACAGTAGCAACAGTACAGTTATGAAGTAGCAATGAAAATAATTTTATGGTTGGGGCACAACATGAGGACCTGTATTTAAAGGGCCAGAAGGTTGAGAACCACTGCCCTTAGGGGACTGCTTGGCCCTCTCTGCCCGCTCCTCCCACCTTGTTCTCAGGTGTGCCTCTACCTGGTAGCTGAGGCCCTGGACCTCCAAGGTGTTGGACGGGCCACTGTAGGTGAAGTACAGGCTGTTGTCACTCTCCGAGGAGAACAAGCTGTCCTGCAGGCCCTGCAGGGAGACACGACAAGGTGGGGGCTCTTTTAGAAGCTGCCGAGGACACAGGATACGCTGAGGGGGCGGCCCGGCAGGCGAGAGCAGCAGCTAGTGTGGCTGAGATCCCGAACTGGCTCCAGGGAACCTCCAGCGCAGGCTGGTGGGCCGTGAACCCAGGCGGCCCATGTGGATGAAAGCCGGTCTCGGGCCTGGAGGGGGCTTTGTGAGCCTCTGTGCTCTGGGAAGACTGAGCTGGGAACTGGCCTTTGACTGGCTCTTCCCTGCGTCTGACTTGGTATCTCCTAATGTCCAACAGGCTTTCCTTATCAGCCCGTGAGAGGAAAAGCGCTAGTCAACCAGCCAACGCTCCAAGTTTATGAAGACACCATCCTTAGGAGAGTTGCATCTTATTTTGATGAGGAGTTTTGCGCAACAAAGCTACTGAAAATGCTGATGGGAGTTTTCAAAGGAGGTCCCTTTCTCCTTTTCCTCCTCCCCCTCCTCCTCCTCCCCCTTTTCTTCCTCCTCCTCCATCTTGTTGCTATTATTATTGGAGTGGTGCTGTATTTGGACATCCATCAAACAAATCGATGTTTTGTGGTATCAGCTGATACATTTGAATGGTATTAACCATCTGCAGTTCTGAATTCCTTCTATTTTATCAATTCAATCATTTAATCATTGCAACCTAGAAAAAAAATCCCTGCCCAGGAAACGTTTCCGTTTTTTAATGCATTCAAATTTCCCTCTGTTCTGCAGGGCAGGGAAAAGTATGAACTCGCTAACCAGTTCCTGTTGCCTCTGGTCTCCTTCCCTCACAGATGCCAGTCACACGCGGATGCATTCCTCCAGCCAATCAATCAATCAAGCATCCAGCCAACACTTATTGGGAGCCCACGTCACCTTTCAGGCACGGAGCTTGGGATGTGACCGTGGGAAAGGCAGTCCTTGGAAGCTCAGATTGTATCGGGTGAGACAGGCGATTGGGATGGAGCAAGACAGGTGAGGCGTAGAGGCAGGCTGACCTCACGCAGCCAGGCAGGGTGTACCTTCGCTGTGTATGCAAGGTGCTGTGTGGGAAAACAACACGACTATGGTTTCTGTGAAAATAACACCAGCCAGTCTTCGTGAAAGCCTCGCTGCGATGGTGGAGGCGAGAGGTCCTCGGAAAGGACCTTCAGAGAATGAGGGGAAGGAGATGAGTACAGGTGACAGCCAGCGGCAGGCCCCCTGCGAGTGGCCCAGAGATTTCTGGCAGAGTCTGGAACCAGCAGACCATCGCTACTTACCTTGTTTAATGTTAGAACTACTACCATTAAGATCCTAAGTTATACAGGAAAACGTGGGAAGATAAACAGCTCATTCGGCAGAAGCACTATCTTTGGGGAACAGAACGGAGAGGGATGTTTAAGGGAGGAGGGTAAAGGGGGTTCGGGCTCGGGCTCTTGCCGAGTACACGAGGGTTCACTATTCTTTCAACTGAACTGTCTGAAATATTTCAAAATGTGTTTTTAAATGGAGAGAGCTGGCCAGCGAGTAGAACTCCAGCTTTCTACTCCTACCTCGACCTCCAGCTGCTAATGCCTCTAAGACATGAGCCAGGGGTGGAGGTGGAGGAGGTGAGAGGGTCCGCACCCTCGGAGGCAGAGAAGTAAGCTCCTTGGAAGACCAAGAGCAGATCAGAAAGCTGCTGGGTTCCAGCCTGGCCCGGCCCTGACCCTCCCCTACCACCCCGCCACCAGCAGCCGCAGCGTCTAACTACCATTTAATTTTGTTACCTTACCAGAGATTCTACGGGCTAATAAGCATCCTGTTTGCTTGTTTTTAAACAGCAAATATCTGCAGGAAGGAGAGTAGCCAATGGGTATAAGGCATGAGTTAGCTCAGAAATTGCTCCTGCGAACGAACATCTGGCCCTCCCCAGGTTAGATTTCCGGGGGAGGGGCTGCTGAGAAAGGAAAGTCGGACAGTTTGGAATCTGGAGGCGATCTCAAGCCGGGGGTGGGGGTGGGGAGTCGGGGGGGGGG